CTGTTGATACCCAATTTGGCTCCAATTTATTAAATAATAAATAAAATAGTGAAATACAGCCCGACAACCAAGAAGCCGAAAATATAGGTTAAATAAATATATAGACAGGTTATCAAGACTAACCGTCCGAAAGCCAATCAGGATCCCTCAATGTCGGGTCCGCCCGTTGCCAAACCGGACAGAGTTCAAAGTAGTCGGATGACCCGCATATCATCAATAAACCGCCTCGCTCGACACGACAATTTTCGAGAAGGCTACTGTCAAAAGTCATAGATGGGTCCCACGACGATTATTTCTTATTAAATAATAATGTACAATCTTTATTTTTTGACTACCCATTTGTAAAGGGAAGGGGACATGTATAAATAGGTAAGAATGAAGAGAGAAGAGGGGACTTCATTTTTTCTTCTTCCACACAATACAAGGAAAAGAGAGAGAGTAGGGGAGGTTGGATGGCTCTCTCCATTTTTTCACCCTCTACCCAAAAACATAATAAAGGAATATCATTTTCCATCAATTTTGTTCTCAATTTTTATACAAGTAATTCGTATTACATTTGACGGTTGATCGTCCGATTTTCGACATCAACAGTTTGGCGCTAGAAGGAGGGCTCCGTAATTTGCTCGGAGTCAATTTTCGCCGGAGAACGGCCACGTCTCAACTGGAAAACACATTTTCCACCAAGTTTGTATTTCATCCTAGTTTTCTATACATCAACTTCTATCATCTTCCTTGAATATATATCCCTGTACATTACATAGATGTTCATCCCAAAAAAAAAAAAAAATAAAGTAAAAGGATCGCAGAAATCCATCCTTTTTCCTTTATGTCGCCACAGATTTTCACTAAATGGAGATTTTGGATTCCTTTTGCATATGGATTTTAAAACTCCTCAAAAGCTGGGAAAAAAAAAAACACACACACAAAGTCCTTGATCCTTTTCTTTCTTTCTCTGATACTAGATTCAAAAAATTGGAAGCAAGATCATGTATCCTGCTGTAGCAAACGCAAGTCTTTTTTTTATTATTTTTCCTTTTCTTTTCTATCTTTTTTTCACCAATTGAAAAGTCAAAATAGTACACAATTCATTGGATGCCCCTTTTTTCCTTTATTTTTGCTCAACAAAAGTAGACAACTTGCGCCACTTGGGCACATAAAACCATGTCTCTGTCACTGTCCGCCCAGTATACTACTGTTTATATCACATCGTGTCAGAAGCCCGCATATTATCAATAAACCGCCTCGCTCGACACGACAATTTTCGAGAAGGCTACTGTCAAAAGTCATAGATGGGTCCCACGACGATTATTTCTTATTAAATAATAATGTACAATCTTTATTTTTCGACTACCCATTTGTAAAGGGAAGGGGACATGTATAAATAGGTAAGAATGAAGAGAGAAGAGGGGACTTCATTTTTTCTTCTCCCACACAATACAAGGAAAAGAGAGAGAGTAGGGGAGGTTGGATGGCTCTCTCCATTTTTTCACCCTCTACCCAAAAACATAATAAAGGAATATCATTTTCCATCAATTTTGTTCTCAATTTTTATACAAGTAATTCGTATTACATTTGACGGTTGATCGTCCGATTTTCGACATCAACATATCTATCCTTCTCATACGATCCCTTCTCTCTCTCTCTCTCTATCTCGCTATCTCTCTCCTCTATATATATATATATATATATATATATATATATGTATGATGTTGTTCAAATGAGAACCAAGTCCTAGCGTGAGAACCGTGAGAACTGCTATTTTTAATTGTATGAAGTGCTATGATTCATTGTGTTTTAGTGCTATTTTTAAACATGATGTATTTTCTTAAAAATAGTAACACAATATATATTAGCATTTGTGAAAATGATAGCATCATGTAATATTAAAAATAGCATCATACACAATTAAAAATAACATCAAATATGATTCTCACAATTCTCACACCAGGATTAGGGTTTCACCTCTAACATTTTTTTTTTTAAAATGATAGCATCATGTAATATCAAATTATTTATATTTCAACCCTAACATCTTTTTTTAATTACATTTTTCTCATGCCAAATTAAGATTCATTTTCTCATTCTTTAAGCTAAAATATACTAATTCTCGATCAGACGACTCAGAACTAATCTATTCATGATTCCAGAACAACCGTCTAAATTTTTTAAAGTCTTTCGACATGGCTACATCCTCTTAATCACCATGGTATTAGACGAGCTTGTATAAAATGAAGTTGTTAGCAGCATCTCATTAATGACAAAAAAAGTTATCTTGTCAATCATATTATCATATACATTAATTTTTTTTGAAAACCTAGTTATAGCCCGAGCACACTTTAAATCTTACCTCCGCTCCTGTATGTAGTCATATTCTATAATAAATTTGTATTTTTTTATATTTAAATATTATACTTATTAAATAATTTAAATTAAGTATGATATTTTAAATGTAAATATATTTTTTAATATAATAATATAATGTAAATAACTAAATATACATTTGTTTAATAAAATATGATTGACTAAGGTTAGTTTGTCACACCAACGGGAAATGTGTGATTTGAAAGACTTGTTTCCCACGTTGAGGGAAAAGTTTGAATTTTAGGATCTGCAAGTGAGGTGGCGCGTAACATTGACGACCAAATACACGGAATTCCATTTCTTCATTTCGCAGTTAGTTTGTCCTCCAAACCTCATATCTTCACAATTCACATTTCACACCCTCTCTTCGCAGCTCCATACCCATCTTCTTCATACGCTCTAATTGCGTTTTTCATACGCATTAGCTTCAGTTTATTCATATTCGTCTTGCACTTCAAAAAACCTCCAAAGTTTCGCACATTTTTCTTTCTAATAATCTTCAATTGCCATTGTTCGGCGCAAGAAGATAGATTCGCTTCAGTTCTGTTCCAAGAAACGCAATGGATGAAGTCCGAGATAAAATGAAGGGTTTCATGAACAAAATCACCAATCCGTTCTCGAATTCACCGTCGGCCAAATTCAAGGGCCAAGGCAGAGTGTTGGGATCCTCGCCGTCTTCTTCAGCCACTCAGTACCACCACCCATTATCATCGCCGTCGTCCTTGCTTAATCACAAACCTTCGCCCGCCAAGCCTCCGGCGCCAAAGGTTAGCGATAATATCGCTCCTCAGCAGAAATCGCGTCAGGAACCCCGAGAAGCCAGCAAACTCGGAAAAAATCGCTCCTCAGCAGAAATCTCAAGTCTGGAACCCCGAGAAGCCAGCAAACTCGGAAAAACGCGACATGTCTGAAATAGGGTTCGATCCCTTCAGTTCACTGATTACTTCCAGTAGGAGGAACCCTAATGGGTATTCTCTGCAAGTGTTTGAGTGTCCGGTCTGTGGTAAGGCGTACACATCTGAGAAGCAAATTTCTATCCATATTGACTCTTGTTTGAATGCAGCGGACTCTGGAAACGAGTTTGGCACTAAAGAATCGGCTGAGATTATGAATCAAATGGAGACCAGTGTCGGTTCTTATGTATCAGGGAAGCCGACTGATGGTTCGAAGGAGATTGTGTTGATACTTTTGAAGAATATGGTGAATGACCCTGCAAATGCGAAGTTCAGGAAGATAAGAATTGGGAATCCAAAGATAAAGGAGGCAGTTGGGGATGTTCCTGGGGGATAGAGTTGCTAGAGTGTGTGGGGTTCAATCTTAGAGAGGAAAATGGGGAAATGTGGCTCGTTATGGATGATCCTTGTACAGAGAGGCTTAGGTTGGCTAAAACTGTGATATCGTTGCTCGAGACGAATAAGGTTAAGGAGTTGCCGCAGATTGTTCCGGTTAAGATTGAGGAAGAACCTGTTGAACCAAAGCAAGTTGAGCGACAGGTATATAATTTGGACTAATTATTGATAATGCTGAGTCTTGGGTAGTTGTTTATTTGGTCACCATTTGCAATCTATTGTTTGCTGTTAGAATTCATATCATGAGTTTCTTGTGATTAGAGATATTTCAGGTGCGTCTTTTTCTTGCTTTTATTGTTTCTTTATTTCTTGTTATTATTGTTGATTGGTTGCATCTAGGCGAATAAGGATCAAATGATTGCAGTTTGGTATACTGTGTGGGCACGAAGTTTTTGCGTGTGTGCAGAGCCCGTCTTGTGTAAATGTGATTAATATTTGTTGAAGATGCATACTGATGCTAATAGTTGTTCACTGTTCTATATACAACATAATGGTAATCTGCAACAGTACACACAATTAGGTCCAAAGGGTAGTGAATCAACTTCGAAATTCTTTGTTCATTACTGGACACATTATAGAGCTAATTGATTGTCATTGTTTTTATTTATTACATGGCTAACTGGGGAAACTGTTGTATAATTTCCCTTTTTTTTTAATCGAATGTTGAGCCTGATAAAGGTGCCCTTTTCATGGTTTAGTAGACACATGCATGGCATATGCATCTAAATTTTCCTGTACCTGCCTTTCCTTTTTTCCACCGCCTAGTGCCTTTTTTTTCCTTGTACTACTGAAAATATGTGCCTCCCTGATTGTATAAAGAATGTTAAAGTTGAGTGCTACATATTATCTGCCTACTCAATCAATTTGTATTTAAGTGAGAATAGTGATTGAAGAAACAGGAAAAATAGTTGTAAGTGCGATTGTATAAGATGAAAGCTAACAAAAATAGTCTATGTAATGGTCTTCTCTTCTGAGATAGAATGGCGATCAGATGTGATTGGTGAAGAGAAAAAGTAATGAGTGAATTGTTCTGAGCTGAAAGTGTATTATAGTTTCTATGATGTGTCTTTTAATGATTTTTGGATTGGGTAACATGGACTGTAGAATAATATCAGACTGATTTAGCAGTGTTTTTATGGGAAAAAGTTCTTAGTAAATGGTTATTCTGGGAAAGGGTGCCCCCATTAGCTAGCACCCGTTTTTTTTTTCTTAGTTTGCTTTTTTACCTTTCGAAAGAGACGCATTCACTGTATTTAAAAACTTTAATCTATTTTGTAAAAGTTACATCTTGCATTCTTTACTCCAACTTTTTTTACGCAACTGTTGGTAGCCTTTATGTTTGAATTTAAAAAGGTGAATCTATTAGGGTCATGTAACATAGCATGGCCTTGATTTTTTCTTGTCTAAAGGATTAGAAGATTGATCAGAAGAATCACCCTGCACGTTCTTCAAAAGTTTAAGGTTCTGTATTGAGAAAAGCTTGCTTACATATAAATGGGAAAATTATAGAAACATATGATTCCTTGTTGTTGCATCATCTTGTTACTTTTGATTTAAAAATCTCATGAATTCTTTGGATCTGATTTAATTTGGTTAGATCTTATTTGACGGGATAAGTATCACAACGGGTTGCGTGAAAGTATTTTAAAACACCAGAGCAGTCTCATCATGTTGCACGATAGTTTCCGCAAGTTGTGAAATTCATCAGAATGTCGATTAGATGAAAGAGGCTGTTGATGCTCACGGACAGCTCATGAATGATATAAATTGGCATATACCAAAAAATAAAATTTTTAAGAGGCTAGTTAACTATGATTTTGAACATCAGAACCCTGCTACTCCTAATGGCTTAAGAGAAGTCAAATGTATGTATACTTCACAATTTGAGATTGTATACATAAAAGTTGCAGTTTTATATTTTAATTATTTTTATCCTTTTCAGTTCCGGATAATTGGCTAGTATTTACTATTTTCGGCATTGGTTTAATTTCAATTGGGACCCCTCTCCAAACAAATGTTTGGTTGTCTATATTCTTTAAATGAGCGCTCACGTTCTCTGTTGTATCACTTATGTTTTCTGCGGTCGAATTATTCATTCTTTACAATCATGGTTGAATGTTCATTTCTGTCACCTCTTTCATGTTTCCTCACCTTCAAGGTTTCTTCTCCTTATATATATATTTTTTTTTTTTGACAAATTGAAATTAGATTCGAGTTTTCTCTGCTGTTCATGAGAGTGTTGCTGCAAAAATTGAGCTGCCTGATTCTTTCTATAACCTTACTGCTGAAGAACTGAAAAGGGAAACCGATGAAAGAAAGGACGAGATAGAAGAATCTAAGCTTTTAATTCCTAAGTCCTACAAAGAAAAGCGGTACAAGAAGACTTTCATTAGAGTGCAGTTTCCTGATGGAGTTGTACTTCAAGCTATCTTTTCACCATCTGAGTCTACTGGAGCTCTATATGAGGTTAGTCTCTTGATTTGTACACAGATGGAATTGTAGCGAGTCTTTATTAGTAATTTAATCCAATTCAAATATTTGTGGCTCATGTTTAATCTGGTTAAAAATGAAATTGTTATGCTAATCAAATGGTTATTAATGTGAAGCGAGGCCAACGCACCCAATGATGGTATAGGCCATAAAACTCGAAAAAAATGTGTTGTATACTAGTGTTATTATTTGTAAAAAAATCAATATAAAAGGTAACAGATCATATCAAACAAGGCAAAAACGCTGAGTCTTTAAGTAATAACTGTGATTGGATTGTTGGTACCGTGAAAATTGAATGGCTTCCTCATTTGGTTTTATTTGAACACTAGTAATTCTCAAAAATTTCTTGCTCTTATAGGTGAACTATGAGATGACTATGGTTTTATACCTTAAATTGCTGCAAACGGTTGCACAGATAACTTGTTTGAAGTTATTATTGTTATACAAATTTCATAAGAGTTAAAAGAGGTTAAGGTGCTTTTTGGCACCAATCATGTATGCAGAGAGATATTTCCATCACCTTGGCACTCACTCTAACTTTATTGTGAATACTTTCATACACCTATCAACTAAGAAGTTTATATTTCATCTTCTACAACCTTCATTGCGCTTGAATTCTTTTTGTTTTTCTTGATTTCACTATTTTGTCCTATTTAATTATGAACCTATATTTTGTCCTATTTAATTATGAACCTATTTACGGTTAATTTTTATAAAATATGTGAACAAAAAACTATACTTATTTTTCCCCAAGTCATTTTATGAAATCCGAAATTTTACATTTGATTCATAGCTCAAAAGTCTAAGTACTTCATAAATTTGGGGGAAAAAGTTGGTTAATGCATGCCACTCAAGCAATTCTTAAAAAATCACAATATTCTTCACTATTATTATGTTCTGTGGATTTCCCTGGACCTTAATTCTAGAAATTCATTATTTCTTCTGTATGTGGTACTTAAATTTCTTGGCACAATATTCTCTTGTATGCATTAAAGCTGTCTAGGAAAATATTACTTTGTTATGGCATGTTTATGCAACCTCACCAGGTGTATGGATTTTGATGTCCCTCTGAATCTATTACTCTAATATCAACTAAAGGAACTCTAAGTTTGACATTGATAGAATCCCCAATAGAAGTTTTTCAACTCTGAAAATTGCTTAAATAGTATTCTGAATCTTTAAGTGGAATTAATTATTATAGAAGATATGATTAAGGTTCTTCTACACCTGAAATTTGTTATAGAATTTCTCGTTTCTGCAGTTACAACCTTTTTTGTTCTGTTGTCAGTTGTTGATGAAGAAATTATAAAACTATTATATATGAAATCTAATTATCTTCTCCAACATCTTCTTTTGTCCATCATCAAATTCTTTGTACGAAACAGAAATGACTTTGCATGTATATCTTCTTGATCACACATTTTACATCCAACATTGACTAGTACTAGTTTTTTTTTTTTTTAAGATGTTTCATTATTTTCTTCTCTTGTTGCCACATGAATGAGCCATATTTTTTGCCGTATCTCACGAAAATCTAAATATTTATCTTTCTCTAACATGTTACTCTAAACATTTTCATTTGTTAGTTTGTGAGCAAGGCACTGAAAGACCCAAGCCTAGAGTTCAGCCTCCAATATACGGATTTAGTCAAGCACCAATTGATCCCTCGTTTTCCAGCAAACGCAGGAAAAGCACCAACACTCGAGGACGAAGATTTGGTGCCAGCAGCCCTTATTAAGTTCAGACTAATCGAGGCAGATGAAATTGTTTTTACAGGACTGTGTAATGAACTTCTTCTAATCAGTGAACCCCTTGTGTTGGGTTCCGCTGTTCCTTCATCTTAACCTGAATTTGGGTTCGAGTCCATCCTTTGGAATGTGAAAATCTTACAAATAATCGACTCATGTTTTAGAATTTTTGATATATGTTGTTGACATTTCACACAATCAGGGCAGAAAATACAGTTGTGCGTCTGGTTTATCACGGTTAAAACTCAGTTTGTACAGATGAGTTTGGCTTGGGGTTGTTTGATAGTATCAAATCTTTTATCTGTTGCGCGTTTTATACATCTGTTTTCATCGAGATTTAGCTTTCTGCTTGAGATGATAAAGACTTTTAAGATCATTAATTATCTTGTTATTTGTAAGAAGTTGGTGGAGCCGAAAGATAATTTGTCGTTCATTATGTAATTGTATTGAAGAATTCAAGATTTTGGAGGCAAAGTTTGCAAGAGAATGTTTTAAAAATTTTATATAAATAATGGACACTTCATATTAGAAATCTTATAAACCAAAAGAATTGAAACCAACCAAACGTTTGCTAAATAAATATTACAACAGTTATTGCGATAACCTTACGAAATTTATATATACTAGTATTCGATCATGTGCATTTGCACATCTATAATAATATAAAAAAAATTTGATATTTACCTGAAAAAGTAATTAAAATCCCGCCAAAAAAATTCATATTTTCTTTTATTAGTAATTTTTTTAAAAACTTGACGGTCATAATTTAAAATTTAAATTAAAAACAAAATCTATACAATATATATATATATGGTCAAAAATTGCGGCTGTCATGTTCGTTTTAATTATGGGTGATACACGAATTAAATAAGTAAATAAATCTGTTTTAGTTATGGGTGATATACGAATTAAATAAGTAAATAAAATCTGTAAAATATAAACTCGATCAAAGATTGCGGCTGAGGATATCGTTTTGATTGGGTGTTATATGTTGTTATAAACCTAATTGTTATTACCCAGAATTAAAAAAGTAAATAAAATCTGTCCAAAATAAATTCGGTCAAATACAATAAAAGGCTTCAATACAAAGGAAAGTAAATAAATATTATCACTGTACATAATTTGGTCAAATACAATAAAAGATCTTAATAGATATTCAAAATCTCCTTTGCACTTGAAGAGCCGCCAAATCTGCAATATTGAATCAATGAAATAGGTGAGCTGTCTTATATAAAATCGGCTGATTTATTTGTGCATACATATCACTTTGCAACATACAAAGCAATATATTTTCTAATAAATCGTTGTTTTCCAAATAAAGTCCACGGATAGATAAATCGTTGATAAATAAAGTGCATACATATCACTTTGCAACTCAATGTTTACTCAAGTGGTTTTATGAAACAAAATGAAGAACGTACGAATAGCAAATGCACTATAGATAATAAAAATATGAATCAAACAACAATATATTATAAGCTAATAGAGTTTGTACGCATGCCAATTCAATGGAATTGCTCCTATCATCCAAGCATTGAATTTAACATATAAAATATTCTTATAATCCAACACTTTAAGCCTTGTAGAATAACATTGTACATAAAAGTGATGAAATACTAACACTGACAAATTACAATTTACAAAATATAAAAACTAAATATGAAGAAAAAAGTATAATCTCGCAGGCAAGTTCTCATAGATGTGTTTATCAAAAATCAATCTCAACTTCTACAGGCAATGGGCTCGAGTGTATACTCAAACATCATTTGTAGACCAAAATTACAAAAATCAACAAGGTTCAATATGTTTATTGATCAATGATTTTAGAATAAAATAATTTTTCTGCCGTAATATCAAATATCAAAAGGATTGAATCGAATACTTTTCCATATCTCATGATGCATGTGTATATACATCAGTTTATCAGAAATAGAGAAAAGCCACAAAATTAGCATAAAATCTGTTCATACAATACATCTATTCAACGATTCATAGAATATGTTCACAATACAAATGATTTTTAAAATATATCAAGAACTAAGAACTAGAAAAACGTATAAATAGAATTTAATGTTAATACCTGATGTATTTTTCTCTGCATGTCATGGATCCATACAAAAATGATGAATCTGTTCGTCGAGATGACAGACAAAGCCTGTGGTGTCGAGTTTCCAAATCAAGAATGAGATTTCATTCGGAAATCTCACTTTCGGACACAAATTGGAAAGAAGATAGGAAAACACGAAGAAAGAAAAGGGAATGTGGCTTGCGGCGTGAAAATAGTATCTGGTGACAATGAGCCCAAAGGAAAATTTTCTACTGTTATACTTCGTGTAGATCAATCTGGATCGTCTATTTCATTGCCTTAACAGCAACCGTTGGGTTAAACTAATGTGTGAGAATGGGATGAAATTTCTCACGGGCTTTAAAAATATAAACAAAAAGTCGGCCCATTTCTGTTGCTAATATCGTAACTCAATTTGAATAAATATGGGTCGAAACTTCCTTCATTTTTTTTTTTTCAAACATCAACTTAATATAATAGAAAACTCAAAGAAATTTACATTGTTCGAGCAATCAACTGACTACAACCCCATACTAAGACAAGCCAAGCAACAGAGTTACGGAAGAGTAAAATTACTCCCCCTTCAAGACCTTAATAGCTACCTCTAAGGCCAAAGAACATCCATCAATATCAAAGAAAAAGTAAACATTAGAAAAAAGCCTAATCAATGAGTTTATATCAAATAGGATGGGGGCTACAGCCGAGGGTGGTGGATTACATTTTGATTTGAGCATGTTGACTACCTCTGAGTTAGCTAATCTGCATGATATAGATTCCCCTGGTTGTGCTCTATGGATAGAAAGTTTCTGCAGGCACCACCGGAGAGCCAACAGGTTAGCCAATTTCTTGCAGCCTTTGAAATTCAGAGTAGTTTGCCAAGATAATGGTTCTGAGTTCTGTGTTTCCACTATGCATCCAATCCCAACTAAGCCATCCTGAGAAAGCACAGCACTGACACTAAGAGAAAGCTGCCCTACCTGCTTCTCAGCCACATCTAAAAAGGAACAAGAGGAGGGAATGAAGATTGTTGATGTAATCTGAGGTTGATCTTCACTTAGAGAGGATGAAGTGAATTCAATCCATTCCCTTCTTGCTAGGTCTACTACTGCGTGATCCTCAGTCTGTTTGCCTTCAAACATCCAGGTGTTTCTGGTCTTCCACAACCACCATAGTAGGTATGTGGAGAGACTAATTCTGTCTTGCAACTTGTTTGTAGATCCTTTCCTGCAAACTGACTGCCACCAATGTTTGAATCTGCACTGCTGATCAGAATGTGCCTCCCATTGAATGCCAAGTAGTTTCCAACATGTTCTGGCTCTCTGACAATGTAACAGGATGTGATCAATATCTTCCTCTGAATCTCCACATATCTTGCATCTGACATCTATATTCAGTTTTCTATCTGTCAGGTTCCTGTTAGTGCTGATGAAGTTGTGCCAGCATTTCCAGATGAAGGATTTCAGCTTGTTAGCTATTGGCAGTTTCCAGGTTGCAGTCCACATCTCTTCCTGAATTGTGCCAGTTGAGCTGGTACCTGTATCTGCACAACTCTTATCAATAGATTGTAGGATTGAGTTATAAACTCCTTTGACTGTAAGTTGGCCTTTAGGGTGCCAATGCCAAATGAGTTTATCCTTCATTCCTCTGCAGCTTATGTGGATGTCCAGGATTTTATCAGCTTCAAATGGAGAAAAGGATTGCTTGACCAGATCAATGTCCCAGCAGGTGCCATCTGCACTCATCAAATCTCTAACCCAGGTGAGATTATTAGCATCAAATGTATAATGACAAGTAGGTGTAAATCTAGTGGATATAGGGAGCCAAGGTGAGTCCCAAATCCTAATGGATTTCCCATCACCTACTTGGAACCTGGCACCTAATTTTAATGACTTTCTAGCATAAAGCCAGCTCTTCCAGAGCCAGGAGTCTCCACTCTTTTGCAAGTAATTTCAGACCTTTAAACTCATGATGCATGCATGCTTGGTTAATAAGATTTGAGAGAGCCTCAGAGATAAGAATGAACAGATATGGAGACAATGGGTCACCCTGTCTCAGTCCCCTAGTGGGTTGTATGTAACCAAGAGCATGCCCATTTATGTTAAAGGAAAATGAAGAAGTGCAAATACATGCCAGAATCCAAGAGATGAATAGTTCAGAGAATCCCATTTTTTTGCAGATTTTCACAATGAAGCCCCATTCTACCCTATCAAAGGCCTTAGACATGTCTAATTTAATGGCCATGAGATGATTTGAGCCTGATCTTTTGCTATTTAAATGATGAATGCATTCATTAGCAAGAATAATGTTGTCCAGAATTTGTCTACCTTGAATAAAGGCTGACTGAGAATGAGAGATGCAGTGATGGAGAACAGTTTTCAGTCTGTTAGCTATGATCTTTGAGATGATTTTGTATGTGACTGTGCATAGGCTGATTGGTCTGAGATCTGAAATGGATTTTGGGTTTTTGATTTTGGGGATCAGTGTGAGGACTGTGTGGTTTATGTTCTTTGGCATTCTGATTTTGGCAAAGAAGTTTTTGATTGATTTGCAAAGGTGGTTTTTAAGGATAGGCCAAGATTTTTGAAAGAAGGCTGGGGTCATTCCATCAATTCCTGGGGCTTTGTTCTGCTCCATTTCCATTAAGGCAGCTTTGATTTCCTTCTCCTCAACAGGTAGTGTTAAAATTTGAGCATTAAAGTTTTTTATTTGATTCAAGAAAATGATTTTTGATATATATGCACATACACAACATATGTGTTTTAAATTATATTTTTATAAATTATTATAATACTAAATATTGATTTTCATATAATACTAAACATATTTGCTAATAATAATTCTAATTGTACAATATTTTACAGTATTTTACATTTCCGATTGAAAATTTTAAAAACAAAATAAGTGGTATGGAATTTATTTCGTACGGATATGAAAGTCGAATTTTAGTTTATTTTGTTACAAAATCAAGGTGATATGATTTTCAAATTTTAGAAGAATTCCATATTTACTTGCCATAAGATATTGATGATAATTCGACAATTTGGTATGTAATCCTCTTGAAAATAAAAAAGATCTTTGAACAAATATTGGTTAATACAATTTAAAATCTATAATTTAATTCTAGGAAATTAGTTGATAAATTTGAACGATCAGACCAGTGACGATAAATCTAGAAAATTGCGAGATATAAATAAATTCACAAATTCACCAATAAATTCACAAATGCAACATATCTCAAATAGTTCGAAGCCCTAATTCAAAGAATTATTCTTTTTTTTTTTCCAACGATATAAGATCTCCATAGAAATAAAAACATCAATGTACAAAGGGGAATCCCCTACTCCTGGGTAACTGGGAGGCCTAGCTAAAACAAGCTGCCTAACCGAAACTAATCCAAATACCAATCAAAAGCCATACAAATGAAAGCAAAACAATCAAGAATCTAGAACACATCATCCCAACAGCAATAAAAAAAGAAGAGATATACAACAAAGGGATCAGACAAATAGACCACTGACACTAGACCTAGCCTACTGCAAAAACCCCTCTGTTGCACTTCAATCTGACTTTCAGCCTGCTGCATTATAGTCTTGCCAGTCCCTCATTGTTGCCTCTAAGATCCACCTTTCATGTTGCCATTGTCTTTCAAATACCCAAAGGTTTCTAGCCCTCCAAAGCCACCACAATATGTAGGTAGACAATTGGATCCTTTCTTCGGAAATGTCTTTGAAATTCATTGTACAAATCCACCACCACCATTCTTTGAAACTCATATTATCCTGCTGCACTCTGTTCCATTTCACTGGGGCAAGATCCCAGATCAGTTTTGCTCTCCTACACAGAAATAACACATGCTCTTGAGTCTCCTTCCCTTCCCCACAGATTCTGCAAACAGTGTCAACTTCCATCCCTCTCTTTTCCAGATTGGTGCTGACAGGTAAGATATTAGTGAAACACTTCCAGATGAAGTGCTTCACCTTTCCCATCACTTTCAGAGACCAACACCTCTGCCTAGCTCTCTTATTTCCACTAGCCAGCCTACTGCATTCTGCCTCATTCCTCAGACCTGGTTCTGTGTCCAGCAGCCAACTATAAGCTTTTTTCACAGAAAATTTTCCTTTCCCCAGAAATGAACAGTTCCACTGGTCTGCCTTTCGAGGATTCAGAGATTTTATCTGCATAATCAAGGAAGCATCTACCTCGGAAAAAATGGCTCTTATCAGGATTGGATCCCACTGAACACCACCAGCTATAAGCAAGTCTTTCACCCAAAATGTGCTACCATTTATATTTGCTGTCAGTTTAGGAGCACTTCCATTTAACCCAAGCACCCAAAAACATTCAGAAATTGAAGTATTGGCACCATTTCTGATGATAATATTCACCTGTATTTTCAATACAGGCAGCAAAGTAGTCCAGGATTTCCACAACCAAGAAGCACCACCATTTTTTTGGCAATCAAACATAGAACAGTTAGGAAAGTACTTACATTTCAACACTTTGCTCATAAGTAATTCTGGTTGCTCAAAGATCCTCCACAGTTGCTTCAGAATTAGGGCTCTATTAAAAAGCTTGATATTCTGGAAACCCAGCCCACCCTCACCTTTAGGCAAAGTCATCTTATCCCAGGCTAACCAGTGCATACTTCTGGATTGGTTATTTCCCTTGTCCCACCAAAACTTAGCAAGTAATCTGCACACCTCCTTACACACATTGACAGGTAATAGGAAACAAGACATCACAAAAACAGGAAGAGCATTTAACACTGCTTTGATAAGAATCTCCCTTCCAGCAGAAGAGAGGAAATTATTCTTCCAACTACCAATTCTATCTCTAACAGCCTCAACCACAAATTGAAAAGTCTCAATCTTAGATGCCCCAATCCCTAAAGGTAATCCCAGATATCTGGAAGACCTTTTCACAACCACACCCTCCAGTAAAGAATAGATCCTATGCTTCAACCCATCAGAACAATTCTTACTCAAAAACATGGAGGATTTGTGCAAGTTCACTTTCTGGACAGTAAATTCCTGGTATTTTTTCAAGATATCCAGCAACAGGATACTGTGCTCCTCATCAGCCTTACAAAAAACCAAGGCATCATCAGCAAATAGCAAGTGAGACAACATAGGACCATTTTGAGATATCCTCACCCCCCTGAACTGACCAACATTTATTTTGTTGTGCAAATAACAAGAAAGCAATTCAGAAACCAGGATAAATAGATAAGGTGATAGTGGATCACCCTGTCTAATACCCCGAGAGGAAGTGACAAATCCACACACTGAGCCATTAAGATTGAAAGAGAAAGTAGGATTGGCAATGCAACTGTAAATCCACTGCACAAACTTAACATGAAACCCCATCTTCAGCATAGTCTTTTTGATACTCTCCCATTCCACCCTATCATAGGCTTTCTCCATGTCTAATTTCACAGCCATAAAAACATTTGAACCAGACCTGTGTCTATGCAAAAAATGGAAGACCTCATGTGCTATCACAACATTATCAATCAAGTGTCTTCCAGGCACAAAAGCAGTTTGAGATTGACTAATACATGAGTCTAAGCAAGGTTTTAACCTCTCAGCCAACATTTTTGCCACAATTTTATAGAGAACTCCACACAAACTAATTGGTCTGTAATTGGTCAGATTCTCAGGATAAAGACACTTTGGAATCAGAGTAATTATGGTGTGCTTCCAGTTTTCAAGAAGATGACCAGTGATGAAAAAACTTTTGATAGCTCTACAAATATCAATCTTCAAAATGTGCCAAAAATGCTGAAAAAATACAGCTGACATACCATCATCCCCAGGAGCTTTCTCAGAGGCCATTGCAAACAGGGCAGCTTTAACTTCTTCTTCCTCCACCGGTTTGATGAGATCATTGTTCATGGCATCAGATATAGAACAAGGAATTTGTTGCAACAGTTCAGCTCCACCTCTGGATCCATCAGACGTGAATAGATTAGAATAGAATCCAGTAATGTGAGCTGCCATTGAATGTTGATTGTCACTGATTTGACCAGAGCTGGTTTTCAGCTTGGAGATAATGTTTCTTTTCCTCCTTTGGGCAGTGTGAGCATGGAAGTACCGAGTATTTCTGTCACCAGATTTCAACCACAAAGCTCGTGATTTCAATCTCCAGTAATTCTCCTCTTCTTGGTGAGCACTATCCAACTCAGCCTTCATTGCACCCCATTCTCTCCAATTTCTGTCAGGACCCTCCATTCTCATATCCTCCATTTTAGTGGTTAGCTCTTTAATCGTAGTAGCACTGTTTCTATGTATTGGTTTGTGCCATGCTAGCAAAGCCATTCTGGTATTCTTCACTTTTTGATGCACCTGGTACATAGCAGTACCCTCCACTATTCCCTGCCAACCTGCTTCCACAGCTTCTTGAATCCCCTGCAGTTTAAGCCAGTGACTATTGAACTGAAACCTTCTGTGGTGCTTGAATGCATCTTTCTCAGTGTCAAACAAAATGTCATTGTGGTCAGATGCAGTCCTGAAGAAATTTGACACCTCCATATTTGGAAATATGGCCATCCACTCGAAAGAGACAAAAACTTTGTCCAACCTTTCCTCAATATAGTCCCCACTGGACCTATTATTACCCCATGTAAAGAAAGAGCCTTTTTGATCCACCTCACACATCTCCATCCTAAAAATGAATTGATTGAATGGTATAAAGCTTGCAGCAATTCTAGGGATTCCACCTCTCTTCTCATGGTTACTAGAGATATCATTCCAGTCTCCAGCAATCACCCAACAAGGTCCCCACTGACTCTTACAAGATTCAAGGTATTCCCACTGCCTAGATCTGGTATTCTTATCTGTACTCATGTAGACAAAGATCATCCAACACCATTCAACCATGCCTTTCCCTCTTAGTTCCATTTGAATACAGAACTCATTCCCCACAACCACCTTCACTTCTACCTCAGAGTCCCACATTACTAACAATCCCCCTCTAGTACCAACAGGATCTTCTAGATACCATCTTCCCTTGAACCCCAATTTGCTACACACTGTCTTAGTAAAAGCCCTAGATTTTTTTGTTTCAGAAAGGAAAATTACCTCTGGGTGGTGGATTCTTCTGGAATCCTTGATTTGGAAAACTGTAGAGGGCCCACCCAGCCCTCTACAGTTCCACACCATGGCCTTCATTGGTCACCTTGGGGCCATTCAAGGCTGGCCTTCTCCACCTTCATTTTTCCATGGTTAATTTTCTTGTTAGACTCTTTAAGAGCTTCCTCAATTGGATCTGAATTCCCTTCATAAGTTATTAAATCTCCGTTCCTCTTACTGCCAACAGTATTAACAACCTCCATCTGCACTTCTTCCACCCTCAGCAACCTGCCATCAGCAGATGTTCTTCTTTTCCATGATGACCCTGGTTTAGCCCTGAGCAAGGCACTTCATTTACTTGTTGTTTTTCATGGTTGGTCTCACCAAGCTCTTCTACTACATCAGTCTCCATTGTGATAGCCTCAATGTAGTGAGTCTCCTGCAAGTCCTTTTTCTCCTTCTCTCTACAGACAATAGCAAGATTTAGTATTTCATGTTCTTCAGGGTGATGGAGATGTTGATGTTCCCCTACTTGCTGTTGTTTGGATGAACTACCACCAATTCTGGCCTCCTCAGATTGAACAAGAGCTGGGTTTACAGTGACAGGTTCCCATGAGCCCTGATTAGAGTTATGTTTTGGTGGTGTCTCATTCCTTTCTGAAGTGCCAGAATAAGTACTCCTTCCTCCCGGTAAAGTTTCTGATGCTTTCAGCCACTCACCAAATTGTCCCTCGACTACCGTTCGATTTTCAATGTCTTTGATTTTCTTTTCACAGCCTCGGTCCAAGTGGCCAATCATACCACAATAGTAACATAAATTAGCTAACCGTTCATATCTGAATGCTACTAACACCTTTTGATCTCCAAGCTTAACTGATGTGCACCTGGGTATGGGTTCATTTAGATTCATCGCTACTAGAAGTTTAATGAAACTTCCAACTTCCCCTCCAGCTTTACAGATCACAACATTCTTCACCGCATTAAAAATTTGGCCAATCTTAAGGCCCACATCTATACTCATCCAATTTAGGGGAACATTACTAACTTGCACCCAAATATTTATCTCCTCAAAGCATTTGTGCTTACTATTCAACCCCGGAAACCACTCCTTAAGAACAATATATTGATTTTCATAGAGCCAGTTATGGCCAGCCGCTACCTTCTTCTTATCCTCCAATGAGTTGAAAATAAACTGGAAGAAATTGGAGCTAACCTCTTTGACCTCCATTGATGTTTGCAGCTTCCAAATAAATCCCATTGTGCGTTTAATTCCAAGAATACCAGCCCTCCGGTCACCAACTACTTTCCCGAATAAGCTCATGTTGCATTCCTCTTCACTAGCCTTTATATCCTCATTACGAATTTCAATCTCCCCTGCTTCCTTAGCCGAAAATGATATTGCTTGTAGTTTCCTCATAAGCCCTTCCGCCATATCTCCTCCTTTAGCCTTCCCCATTGATGTTTCCCCCATATGATAAATGTCGAACCCTAACAATCTAACCAATTGAACTTTGACAAAGGAAACAAGAACTAACTCACTCTGGATAATCTAACCGGTACTAATTACTTCTGATCGAAATCACTGGTCCTTCACCGAAGGAATTTCATACTCCCATGTGAGAGAATTATTGCTCCCATGTGAGAGAATCTACCATTCATAACTTACGGGTCAATATTAACTTGAACGCAAAAGAATAGTCAATTATTTACAATTTAATAAAATACTCAACTACTTAAATTTTTTGATTTGGATATTTTGTACAAAACTAAATTTATTTTAATTAATGAAAAATATAAGTCTTATATTTAAACCTATTATTCACATAGATTTCAAATATATGATAACTTTTTGCAAAAATATTTATTTTATGGAATCACATTGTAGTCAAATCGAATTTCTACGAAAACACATAATAAAAACATGAAAACACATAAGACACGACAAAATGGACTGGTTAACACAAAAAACAAACCTAAAAGCACTAAACTAAAACACATAAATCACATAAAAATAAACACAAAAACACAATAAACAAATGACACTTATTTTGAAATGAAAAAAATGTAATTTATTATCAGTTACGTGCACCGTACAGGTTGTGTACTAATTTTAAATAGACATATGTTATGTAATTTTGCACAATTTAAGTTTCATATAACATTTTCAATAAATTAAAATATAGCTAAATTGTTTTAAATATTCCATATGTTTTTTATAACTACTATTTAATAAGCGTTTTGAATGTATAAATATTAATAATTTTTTCTTATCCGTGCATCGCACGGGATTCGTACTATAGTATCTACAAATGGGTGTATCTTTAATTAATTATGGCATAGATAATAGTTATTGCAGATTCGTTAATTTTACAGTTTAACATCAAGTATTTATTTGGTTAAGTAATCATGATTTGGATGGAATCTCTTTAACTTATAATACTATTAGTAAAAATTCAAAATACTATACGCTAAATATTATTTCTATGTAGGAAGTGAATTTTAAATTGCATACTTCAATTAAAATGGATTAGTTTAACAAATAAAGACGGACAAAAAATAAGGAATGTCTGACTTCATGTTTGTAATCTAAAATGTTTTGATTATTTTTAAAATAGTAATATTTTTCCTAAAAAAAAATTATTTATTATATTTAAAAATTAATTAATTATTTTATTGTATAAATTTGTAAAATTAATAAATTTGATTTTAGTAATAAAGTTGGTGATTTTATGGTAAAAAGTGGGCGATTTTATTGTTATTAATAAATCTAATTTTGGTATAAAGTGGATGATTTTATAGAATACATTTAGTCGAATTTAATTAATCCTCTTTACTAGATATAATTTCAATTGTGTTTGGTATAATGTTAGTTATTTTGATGGTGATTTACTGGACTCAAGGTATGTGAGGGCGATTTTAATTAAGTATAATGGTGTGCCTACAAGGCAAAAAATATTGTCTATAAGGATGTTTTTAATAATATGTAATAGTTTTTTAGTATTATTTATTTAATTTTCTTTATTCACGAATATAATAATAAAGTTGGGTAAATGCCCTTAAAATTGTCCACCCCGTGCATCGCTCGGGATCTATATTAGTATGTAAATGAAGTATTATAAGTTATTTGTATGCATATAATATTAAAATTATAAGTTAGATAATGATATTATATTTTAAACATAGGGTATTATAAGTTATATTTATGCATATAATATTAAAATTATAAGTTAAATAAAGGTATTATATTTTAAAATTTGATCATTGGTTAAAATAAATAGTACGTAACGATTTGATTGTATATGAATCACTATATTGGTTGCATAAAATAAAATAAATAATGTATTTTTTGAAATTTTAAGGGACTATGACTAATTAATTAGCTAAAAAATATTAAATTTCTTATAACAATTGCTTATGCGATTTTAAGGAATTTTACTATGCCATTAAAAAAAATTAATTTATTTAAAGCCTAATCGCTTAAGCAGATAAAGAAATGTTATATTGATTTTATAATAGATTACTCGAACAAAAAAATTTTACAATATAGTTTCTTATGTTTATGTAACTTTCACATATCATTTAGTGTAAAATATAATTATTAATTGTAATAATAACTATTATATGATACAATTTTCAGAGCTGGTGAATTTATTTTGTATTGTTGTTAGTGTATTTGTCCATGTTGTACATGTGCAGCATTTTCCATTTTCATTATGATTAATTATTGTAGTGATATCATCAAAAGCAATAGATATTCCAAATAAACATTTATAAAAAGTTCTTTTAAAAATTAATATTTGAATTTTTTTGGCCAGAACGATAGGGGAGCTATATATAACAACCAAAATGAGTTCGAGTACAAGAGAGATAACAAACTGAAATAAAACTGAGAGATGCTACACAAAGCACCTAGAACCTCAACAACTGATAACTAGAAAACAGAAAAACAGAAAAAGAAGCAATGCATCTCTCCACTGCCAATAGGCCTAGCTAGAATACATCCCTTCAAAATCAAAATGACTCCTAAAGCAAAACAGAAAACAAACTAATCTAATCAAGGAGAAAGAACATCATGGTGTCCTGCAGCTAATGAAGCATCCATCCGATCTTTTTGTGCAGCAGTAATCACAATGTGTTCGGGCATGAGAGAACCTTTAAAAACCCAAAGATTTCTTGATTTCCATAGCCACCAAAGCAAGTAAGTGGACAGTTGGATTCGGGCTTGGACAACATCATTTTGTTTGATGGAGCTAACCTGTTGCCACCAATGTTTGAAGGAGGAAAAGCAATGCTGCAAGCCATCCCAGTTGACTGGAGCATACTCTCAAATCCTACTTGCTCTTGGGCATGAAAAGAATAAATAATTCATAATTAAGTTAGCATAGTAATGATTATATAAGAAATTAAAAAAGTAAATATTTTTAGCTAATTAACCTAAATTGATATACTTAGATAAAATAGTGGTCATTAGTTTAGATTTTGTAACTGCCCAAAATTGATGTATTTTGTAAAAGTAACGGTTTTTGTATTTGGAAAGTTTGTATTATTTATTAGGTAAAATTTATTAGGTTTTATTTATGAGGTAAAATTAAATGAAAGGCTAGCAATTATATATATATATATATATAGATAGTGCCCTACATCTTCCCACCACAATCCATTTTCAGATTAATATGGCAAAGGTTTTTTTTTTACTTTATCAATATGGTAACGTTTTCTGCATAATTATTATTTATTCCTTGTATTCGACCTTGTGCATTTGCACATATATAAATAAAGTATTATAAATTATTTATATGCATATAATATTAAAATTATAAGTTATATAATGGTATTAAATCTTAAATATAGAGTATTATAAGTTATGTTTATGCATATAATATTAATATTAAAAGTTAGATAGTGATATTCTGTTTTAAAAATTATAATAAATTTGATCATTGGTTAAAATAAATAATACATAACTATTCTATTGCATATGAATCACTATATTGATTACATAAAATGTAATAAATAATGTAATCTTTGTAATTTGGAGAGATCATGACCAATTAATTTACTGAAAAATATTAGATTTATTGTAACAATTGTTTATCGATTTTAAGGATTTTACTATGACATTAAAACAAATTAATTTTATTTAAAAAATAATCACTTAACCAAATAAAAAAATATAATATTGATTTTAGAATAAATAATTGAATAAAAAGTTTTACAATATATTTTTTTTTGTTTATTTAACTTTCATATATCATTTATAACTATTAATTCTAATAATTACTATTATATGGTACTATAAAAAAATATAATTATTACTCAGTCAATATAAAATGTAAATATTTTTGTTTTAATTAACAGAATCAATATTTGGAAAGCAATACATTAAATAAAATCTCATAAATTTTAATCCATAAATTATACCTATGTAGTTGATGATATCATTAAAATATTACATTTTATTATAAATGATATATTTCAAAAATTATAACAATCTCACAATTAGTTCTAAACGCACAAGCCAACTACTTGAATAAACTTGTAGAAATGTATTTTCTTGATAAAAAAAAAATTAAAAAAAATGACAATTTGAAAATTCTTAGATACGCAAAATTTGATATAAATAAATAATTGCCTAATATTACATGTTAGATTACAATGACATTGCACAAATTACATCATACCGGTTTTGGAGTATGGAAAGTCTGCCATGTAGGTATAATTTATTAGGTAAAATTAAATGTTTAGCTAGCAATCTATTAATATATAAAGAGGGAATGATAGTTTTTTGAAAAAATCATGTAGAAAATCAACAAAAAAAACAAAGATTTTGTTTCCCGCCTAAAATATTTACTAAATTGAGTATTTTTCTTTTTTTGCCAAAATTAAAAAAAATTTGCTTATGTGATATCTTCTTTATGTTTTTCAAAAAGTTAAACTGTGAGTATTGGATAAGTTTGGAAACAAAAATCAAGCTTAATTTTGTGTCTATCCAATATACTTTTTGTGTCTATCCAATATACTTATGCTATTTATTTTTGTAAGAGCCGAATCTCATGCTAATAAAAAATCGATTTTTGTTAACAATTTGTATATAATAATTTTCACAACAATTGTGAAATTGTGCACAATCAGAATTTAACAATTTGACCAAAAACGTTAAATTAATGAAATTGGGCGCAATCAAGAAACTAAATAAATATTTACAATTAGAATTTTAATTTTAAAGATAATTGGTAATTGTATATTTATCTTTTATTTGAATTATGTATAGCTTTGAAAACGATAAAACATAATTTTATCAAGCATATTTTGTTCGTGATAATTTGTTCATGTATTCTTCCATTTTTTATAATCGTCTATTAGTGAAAGATTATATTATTTTAATTAGTTTTTAGAAAAAAAATGTTTTTTAATCGAAAATATTAAAAAAATAAGAATTATCATAAATATCAAACT